AATGGTCTCTTTTGATGTCACATCACTCTTTACGTGCATTCCTGTTGAGGATGCAGTAGAGGTGGTCAGTTTAAGATTAAAATCAGACACCACTCTGAGCAGCAGGACCACGCTTTCCACAGAACAACTGTGTCAACTCTTGAAACTGTGCCTGCAGTCAACCTACTTCACATATGGGAAGCAATATTATAGGCAGAAACATGGGTGTGCTATGGGGTCGCCAGTTTCTCCTATTGTTGCCAACCTGTACATGGAGGAGGTAGAAAAGAGAGCCTTGACGTCCTTTTCAGGGACACTGCAAAGTCATTGGTTCAGGTATGTTGACGACACCTGGGTAAATGGTAAATGGACTGTACTTATATAGCGCCTTTCTATCTTATTTCAAGATACTCAAAGCACTTTACACTACAATCTGTGTCCTCATTTACCCAGTCATACAACACTCTACTAAACAAAGCTAAATGAACAAATCATTCTAAAGAGACTAATCAGTGCTTTTAGATCACATTCATACACCGATGGGACACACATCAGAGGCTATGAGGGGTTAAGTGTCTTGCCCAGGGACAATTGGGCATATAACTGCTGGCGGATTCAAACTACCAACTCTTACATTGGAGGACGACTGCTCTAATCACTCAGCCACAGCCGCCCCAAAATTAAAATTAGATCTCAGGAAGTCCAACAATTTACTGACCACATCAACTCTGTGGATAAATACATCAAGTTCACACAAGAAGATTTAAAAAATGGCAGGTTGGCTTTCTTGGACTGCGAGGTCTCCGTCTCTGATAGAGGACATTTGCAAATTGAGGTGTACCACAAACCCACCCACACAGACCAGCATTTGCAGTTTGACTCCCATCACCCTTTGGTGCACAAGTTAGGAGTCATCAGGACTCTATACCACAGAGCAGACAGCATCCCCACTAACTCAGGAGCCAGGCAGAAGGAGAAATCTCACACAAGACAGGCTCTAGAGCAATGTGGATATCCTAACTGGGCCTTCCTGAAAGCAGAGAAGAAACCCAAACAGGACTCCAGTCAGCCATCAAGTGAAAAGGAGGAACCCAGACCCAGACCAGTGGTCATTCCATATGTTGTGGGAATATCAGAGAAACTGAGACGTTTATTTTCTAAACATAACGCCCCAGTGGCTTTTAAACCCCAAAATACATCACGGCAAAGACTGGTTCATCCCAAAGATCCAGTCCCCCGGCACAAACACAGTAATATTATGTATGCTGTTCAATGTCAGAAGGGCTGTGATCAGTCTTACATCAGGGAAACTAAACAACCACTGGCCAAAAGGATGGCCCAGCACAGAAGATCAACATCATCAGGCCAGGATTCTGCGGTCTACATCATCTCCAGGTCAGCGGTCACTCGTTCAGGGATGAAGATGTTCACATCCTGGACAGAGAGGAACGATGGTTTGAGAGAGGAGGAAAGGAGGCCATCTTTGTGAAAAGAAATCGTCCATCATTAAACAGGGGTGGAGGCCTCCGGGTTCAACTGTCCCCCTCTTACAATGCTGTGATTGCTAGTATCACTCAACCCCCTGTGAACAGTAAACAGCCATCAGTGTGCTAATGATCCATTGTTAGGCTGATGGTCCTTCTTGACCATGTGAGCAGCTGGTTTTGGTTGTCAGCAGCAAACTGGTTGATCCACTCTGAGAAGGTGCTATTTAAGAGACTGAGCTGAATACAGCACCTCAGACTGAGGAAGTCTTTCGGATGAAAGACGCAATGTTTCTACATTTTTTTGTTGTTTTGCTCTGTTGTTTTTTGAATGTCCAGAGGACCAGATTTAATTTTTGTAGATTTTTTTTACCTGGATTATTGAGAATGCATCAGGATAATTTACCTACAGTGTCGCGAACAACTGCAGCTGCTTTTACCTGATCTGGTCTCTTCTCAGTTAATTAACTATTTAATTAACTTGTTAAGTTCATTTGATATTTATTCATTTAACATGATCAACTCTGCACACTCGAAAACAACTGCAACCAAATCAACAGCATTTGACTTCACATAACTATTTTATTCTTCTTAATAATCATCATCATCATAATATTAATAACAATAATAATAATAAAAATAATAATAATAACAACTACCGGTATAATATTTTTTTTTATTTTCAGAAAGCTCATAACTGCAGTGTGTTGTTGCAAACTTTTGCAGAGAGAAGAAATGGGGGGGGGGGGTAAATTTTCACTTATTTACCTTCACTTTCAAACATCAAACATGGTGAAAACATTTAGTTAACAGTTAATTTGAACCCTGAGCCAGGAATAAATGAACACTTATTATCTGATGATGAATAGTTTAATCACTTCTGTCTGGTCAATTTTCTCAGCTGCATTTAAATTCCTATAATAGCGCATAACTCCATTACCCACAATGCCCCACATTTTAAAACAGGAAACTCATGCCAGATGTTTGAACTGAAGTGTTTACCATTACTCAATGCTTGATTAAACATTTTAAACATGAATTATTTTCAGCCCTAGACTAAAAAGGTTTGTGTCACGGAGCTCACCTCTAGAAAAGAAACTCCACACTCAAGTTTAAACCTGTGCTCATCATGGATTTATAAGTCCTGTTTGATTTTCAAACAACATTTGTCAGTGTGTTGATAGTATACCTAGCATTAGTACTGTAGCCATGTTAAATAAACTGGACCATAGTATGTAATGGAAAACTGTATTTTCCACATTCAAAATGTTTATATTTAGCCGCTCATGACCCTAAAATTCAGCACAAACCAAAATAATTAATTCTCAGTTTACTGGCAATCTGAATGTCAGACCTTTGAGACTGTAAAACAAGCTCAAAAGTCTGATTTAGATATAAACTGTTCACATATTCCTTTATTTCAACCATCTAAACAAATGTTTGACCTTTGGGTAAAAATGACAGCCCTGAAACAAACAAACGCGATGCTGGCTGCAGCTTGATGGGTGTATTTGGTGTAACCTGCGCAGAAATGAGGGTAATTATGGTGTATCACAGTTGGGCCCAACATCAACGTGTGCATCTTGAGCCTCGTTTACTACTTCTGCTGTGATTATGGGCTGATGCCAAAGAGAGGAAGGTAGGAGGGTAATGGGTTAATGGAGTCTGAACTGGCATTCCTAGAAAAGTGTGATGATTTACCTGAGCCACCCCAGTGACAGTAATAGCTACACCCTCCGCTGTCTCTACATCCTCACACTTGGGCTGCAGGGTCATAATCTCAAGCGTTATCCTGTGAAGAATGTGGAAAAAATATAAAATAAAAATTGACATGTTCGAAGGAAAAGCAAATGAAGGGAAGGAACAGAACACGAGAAAGGAAGAAAACAAAAAAGACAAAGTGAAACCATTCACCCAAGGACTCCAGGTCACTAGTAGCAGTGGAGCAACATGAGACATTACCCAGAAGTCAAAAGTTGTTCAGGTTTATTGTGAAATGCAGCCTATTGTCCTTTGAAACTGCACTCCTTACATCCTAATTATTTAGACATTTCTCAACCATCTTGCTGCCAAACAATCGATCTGTTGGTTAGTTTGTTAGTGGCACCAATTTCCTTTGCATTTCGTTGTCCTCAAGCACCAGCACAGCTTTTTTTGTTGTTTTTAATGAATGCATTACCTGAGCCACCCCTGTCACATCCAGGGGAACACCCTCCGAGGTTTCGATATTCTCACAGCGACAGAGGATGGTCATAACCTCCAGAGACATTCTACGCAGACAGGCAGGCAGCAGGAATAGCACAGGCAGAACAGTGAGTTGACAACAGCTGTTAGGACGGTCAGTAACCAACGTTCAGAAGATCAGAAAAAAGAGGGGGCAGAAAACACAGCATGACCTGCAGTTTGGTTGGATCCAGCCAAGAAGGCTGAAACGTACATGATGAGCTGCATTTACTGTCGCCGATTTGATCTCTTGATGGATGTTTAGAGTACTTCATGACAGACAGCAACATTCACAAACAAAGATCTGAGTCAGTCTTGAAAGAATTCTTGGTTCTCAACTGGCCTGAGTCCTTATTCATCTGGATTAGGCCTGTCACAATAAATTTTTCTGGGTGATTGTCTCAGGAATTATTGCGATAAACGATAATATTGTTTGAAATTTGACAACAATTAGTAATTATTGTCAAATTTAAGAAGAAATGTTGGTTAATTTTGTGTGTAGTACGTTTTTTGACCACTGGATGGCAGTATAAGACAGTTTGAACCGAAGTTTGGATAGTGAGGGAGCAAGCAGCGTCTCTTTAAGAAAAATGGGAGGGAGACCCCTTGACGTGTCATGGGCCATCTCTCTTCTGTCCTCAAAATGGTGGACGCTCGGTGTGGTTTGAGCTCTTTAACATAGCATTTTTCACACAAAACTTTTAATAAAAATCAGTAAACAAGTTCTCAGTTTCTTTTTGCAGAGAAAAATAACGTTTTACACGAAGGTACGGGTTTCAACTGTGAATTTTGGCGCTTCAACAAGACAGTTTTTTTTCCCCCCAAGGCTGGCCTGTTAGCTTAGCTCGTAGCTTAACTTCTCAGCTTAGCTGCTTTTAATGATCCAAAAACATGATTTTGAATGGTTAAAATGGATTTTAAAGAGAAAAGAGAAAGGGAGGGTTCAGTGAAGAGCACCGGAGTTGAACCTTTTGTCATCCAGTGTCTTCAGTAGAAAGAGAAAGACACGAAGAAACAAAGCCGATAAATGAAAATGAGGTTGATAATTTTCATTTATAATGTGATTAATTGATTCATTGATTCATTGTTTATCGTGACAGGCCTAATCTGGATTATTGTGTTTCAAAGCAGACAATAGAGACAGCGCTGAGGTTTTATTGTAAATGCTTTGAATCATTTTGTTGGAGAAACATGAGGAGTCTACCACTTGATAAAAATAAAAAAAACAAGACTCTCTGGTTAACAGCCAACCTCTAGAGAAGCTGGATCGAGTCAGAGCTCCAACATTAAGATGATTACTGCGTCATGAACAGGAAGCTACACTCCCACCCCCACCTTTCAGAAGCCCATCCATAATGGCCTGTGCAAACAGGGCTTTTAGGAGTCATGATCATTTGTCTGGGAGAAGCGTCTACTCATTTTCTGAGGCATCTTAAATGGTGTCCCAACTCCACATAGACAAACACGGCAGGATCTCTGGAAGAGACTGCCTCAAATGTACATAAACTCACTCATGCATCCAATTTCACGTTTTCTAATTGAGGCTTATCAATAAGTTTCCTAGCAACTATTGATTAAGTGCAGCAGATGATGTGAGTGAAGTAACCTCATGGAGATTTTTTATTAATAGTTGAAATGTTTGTTATGTACTGTAACCCCAGATTCTATGAGTATAGGCGTAGCCCTTTAAGGCTGTCGCTTAGTGGGTTTATCCCGTCATGCGGAGCATTACACTGACAAAATTTAGTCCACGCCCACCTGCTGTGTGGGCCCCACCCGGTCCGTATAAATTACGTTAAGAGCGGGTAATCGGCTCCTAAATAGCTTTTTCTTCAGCCACTTAGGAGCCAGTGAGGCCCGACGCTTAAAGGGCTACGCCTATACTCATAGAATCTGGGGTTACAGTACGTAACCAACGTTCTATTTCGTATAGGCTTCGCCCTTTAAGGCTGTCGCTTAGTGGGTTAAGGGCGAAGCAGATGTGGTCCTCGCCTCACTGGGTCCATTCGAACACCGTATGAAGCGGAAGCTTGCCCAAAAACATCTTGTCACTCAGCTCTCCATGTACGTAATTACGCATAGCGTTATTATGTGTACCATGCACAGACGCATGCTGTGTAACTATGTGTTCTGAATGCATGAACGCCCCGGAAAAGTTTCAACAGGGAGGGAAAAATGCTGAAAGGAGCCATGAACCAACCGGTTTACGGCTGAACAGTATGAACAGATTAATAATAAAAGGAGAGCTGATTATTAATCAAATGAACTGATTGGTAACAATAATCATGAACTGATTAGGGATAATAGAACCAAAATAACAATCACAACTTGTGACTGATAACATCTCACACTGTAATGCATGCAGACAGATGTGAGTTAAACGGAGTTCCATGAAACAACAATATTCATTCTGTAAAACACTAAGGACAGAATGTGTCATGGAACGGGCCGTCACATCACGTATATAAAAGTGAATAAATAAGCAGGGTGTTGCCCACGCGGCCACAGTGCAAATATCCTGCATTGTCATACCCTTATGCAAAGCAGTCTAAGATGCAATACCCCTGGTCGAGTGCGCCCTGAGGTTATCAGGAGGCTCTAAATCTGATGCTCTGTAGGCTTCAGAAAAGGCTTCACACAGCCAGTGTGACAAGCGCTGGGTGGATAACGGGCGACCTGCAGATGCATCTCTATAATGCACAAACAAATGTTGAATTTGATGCATTGCAGCTGTGTGTGCTATGTAACACGTCAACGCCCGCACCTGACAGAGAAGATGGAAAAACGCTTCTTCCTCTGATTTGTGGGGGGAAGGAAAAACCCTTCCAACAATATCGCTCTTGATTTAAAAGAGCTTGTGATGTTTTAGGCATAAAAGCTGGATTTGGTCTTAGATCAGCTGAGCTGCCGTCAGCCTGAATTCTGAGACATGACGGAGCGACAGAGAAGGCAGATAATCACTCACTCTCTTAGGGGATGTTAAAGCCAGTGCAGTGAACTAGGCCTCCGACAACAATCTGTCTCTGAAGACCTTCAGGGGACAGGAACTGTTATTTATTTCATTGATTTAAATCCAGAAATACAAATTAGCTCATCAAGAGACTATTTAATTGTATCCTGAATTAATCAATTGAAAGAACACTCTTCTTTTTACATTATCATTACTATTTTAGAATATCTTGATAATCAAAGTGTGTTTAGTTCATACCATTTCTAAATGTTGAAGTGAACCACTCATTTTAAATCAACTGTGAAACAGTATTAATGATTTTTAAACCTCATTAAAATTAGAACTCAAGTTAAATGTCTATTTACAAAATAATTATGCATTTTGATCTTCTGTCTGAATGAGGAGTAGTGATGTCGGTCAAAAGTCAGAGAGAGTCCGAAAGCAAGTTATTAGAACGAAGTGTCTTGTTTTTAAACCTAGCAGACAGTAAATAAAAAGCTGGCATCTGCGTTTGTCTCACTTCGCCATAACATTTCTCTCTCTGTACTAAACGTTCGTAAACATTCCTGCAGCCTCTCTTGACTTTTAATAACCCTCTGACATCACGGAAACACCCCCTGTTGGTTGTTTCAACCAATCAGGAAGTACCAAGTGACCGGAAGTGAGTACTCCGTTAAAAGTCAACACTTCCTGGGACTATTCAGTCTTCTTGAGTCTTTCACTGGAGTCTTCCACTTCTGAGTGGAACTTCGGACTCAGTCTTCTTCAGTTTTCCTGAGTCTTTCTTGGGACTATGGAGTCTTCCTGAGAGTTCCTAAGGAACTTTCAGATTTAATCAATAGCTGATGGATTTGACCGTGAGACGAGGGTCCGTCCATCCCAGCTGGAGTCACAGCGCCTCGCTGTGAATTCACCCGGGCGTAACGCCCTACAACTTCGAAGGAAGCTTGTTCTGTTGAACAGAGTAAAAACCACACGACTTCTGACGATGACCAGCCACCCTGACCGGAGACGCTGTAAAGGTAGCGTGCATAGGGACATCTAGACCGGAGCTGATCCATCCTCTGCAAAGGTAAAGAGACGTCACGAGTTGCCACGCACCAAGTGGACCGGGGGTTTGAGCTGGTGTTGAAAGAAGCGTGTTAATTCTGGTCAACAAACATACATCTTCCTTTATCCATCTTCCTTTCAAACTTCTCCATTCCTTCCCTTAAACTTTTCTATTTTGCCAGTAATCTAGATGCCTCAATCAGTAATGTTCTGTTGTCTTGTTAGTAAAGCATGCCAAGTTTTTATTAATCAGAAACAGATCAGCAAATCAATGGGTACATGTTTTGATGTTAAGTTTTGATTCTGTTAAATAAATGACCGCATTTATTCTGATGGGTCAAAGATAAAATGGCGTCTCATGTCACTGATTAAACAATCCTCACAGTTATCTCGGTCACACAACACATAATTTAACTCGAAAAAGAAAATAATCCGTTGTAATTAAATAATTAATATTCTTTGTGCTTGAACTAGCTTTAAGAATAATTAATTAGTAGTGAAGCTACAGCAAAGCTGTCCCTGCTTCACTACACCAGCAGCAGGGCTGGTTTAAGAGACAAGAATTTAAT